TTCTCGTGAGAAATGAAATAAGTTAAAGTTCTTGGAGGAGTGCCTGGCAACTAGTAAAAAGGCAATGAATTATTCTCTCCTGTTTTCACTTTATCCTCACAAGCCTGTGAGTTGTCAGCTGGTATCATCCCCCATCTTACAGATGGAAAAGTTAGTGACTTGTCCAAGGTCGCTCTGCTCACTAGGAGTTTGAACTCGGATCATCTTTTACCACCGTCTGTCACCTAACCCTACATCTAGTAGCATGTAGGGTTAGGACCCAGCCCATATAGGGTGAAGATGATCTTTGATCATATTTGATCTTTGATCTTTAAACCCCTCAGCCACCCGGGCGTCCCCAGTGCCTGCGCTTCCACCGCGCAGTATTCATTATTCAACATAGTATTCATGCTTCTATGGACACGGCTTCACAGAATAATTCTTAAGCACACTAAGATTCTCAGATGGTGAGCTGAATTTAGGAAAAAACCAAAGGGGAGCCTACGTGCAGCCGTCTGGATGTTCAAACCTTTCTGCTTTAAATTTTTTTTTAATTTTTATTTATTTATGATAGTCACAGAGAGAGAGAGAGAGAGAGAGAGAGAGAGAGGGAGGCAGAGACACAGGCAGAGGGAGAAGCAGGCTCCATGCACCGGGAGCCCGATGTGGGATTCGATCCCGGGTCTCCAGGATCGCGCCCTGGGCCAAAGGCAGGCGCCAAACCGCTGTGCCACCCAGGGATCCCCCATTCTGCTTTAAAGAAAACCCCAGGATTTCTATTGCCTACAGGATTTCTTTCATATTGATTTTAAAAATTAAGCCTTTATGCCTTAATATATGGCAATGGACCTGCCTATTGTGGACAGATTAACCAATAACAAGGCATCCTATTTTAAGGATTAGGTTCTAAAATTGGCATTTAAATATGTGCATGACATGACTCCATTGTAGACAGTGTTGTCTGGTTTTGGTTGGTGAGGTATACTTTCTTTAAAATCGAGGGATTGTCAGGCTTTGTTAATTATTGATGTGACCTGTCTTCTAGTGTGTGACACCCTTTTCCTGAGAGCTGCGACCCACTTGTGAGCGGGATGGAGCTGTGTTCACATGACATGACGCGTTGCCGCCCCCGTTTAGAAACAGAGGCCAAGGACATGAAACATCCCTGACCAATGAAATTCTTCCTCTCAGGGTTCTGGGGACCGGGCTTCAGTAAAACTCGTCATCCTCTCGTCTTCATTTAAAGTAAGGAGCTACCCATTTGAGAGCTGGGGCATCATTTTAGGGTGGCCATCTTCAATAGCAGGTGAAAGAATCAGAAAAACCGGATTTGTTGAAAAAGAATAGGTTAAAGCAAGATTTATAGGGATAAGCAGGGGGGTGGGGTGCAGTTAACTGGGAACTAGGTTCCAGGAGGCTAATAATAGGTACTTTTAATTCCTCATGAAGTTTAAAGGTACCAACTGGGTTTGGTTTCTGTGAATACTTTCATCGTGTTTTAGTGTGTGCGGGTCTTAAACTAAGTTAGTGACACCCTTTACTTCCACCTTCTATTTTATTTCCTAAAGTATCACAAAGATGTCCAACCCCATTTGGAGACAGAAATACCATAGTTATTTCCATTTCTGACACTCGTATTCACTTGAACCTTGGTTTGTAGGGTAGAAGAGATCTTGAAAAGTCACCCGGCACGTTTCCTTACTTCTAATTAATACTGCATCTTACTCACTCCAGATAGATCTCCCCTATTTACAGTAAAGTCCAGGTAGTGGGATTCTACACCGTTCATCAGCAGTTCGTTCGGGGCGTGACATAGCCCTCGTGGCTAGGAGGTGCTTGCTCCTGTGCCATGTAAGTGATTCTTTTTTTTTTTTAAGATTTTATTTATTTATTCATGAGAAACACACACACAGAGAGAGAGAGAGAGAGAGAGAGAGAGAGAGGCAGAGACACAGGCAGAGGGAGAAGCAGGCTCCATGCAGGGAGCCCGATGTGGGACTCGATCCTGGGTCCCCAGGAGCACGCCCTGGGCCGAAGGCGGCGCTAAACCGTGGAGCCACCCGGGCTGGCCCACGTAAGTGATTCTGATCGCAGTGACTCATGTTGCCCGAGCCAAGCCAGGGGGGCAAAGTCCGCTCACACAAGAGTAGCAAAATGGTATTTCTCCGCATCTGTTCCCACAATTTCAGGAATTCCGGCCTCAACTCAAAACTCCATCAGACAGTTCTGAGAGTCCCCGAGAAGTGTTCCCTGTGTGTTCCATGAATGACTCCTCTTGGCTTTGCAGCGGCCTCTGCATTTTCTTTGCTTCCAGCCCCGGCTTCCCGGGGCAAAGGCTGTTATCCAGGCTGAGGAAACAGCCCCCGTCCCCCGACCCGAACTGTCCTCCAGAACGGAGGTTCCAATCTCATTATTCCTTTTAATGCTTTAAATGGCCCCCAAATATTTTGGTGAAACATCACTTTCAGCTTTTCCTTGCCATTGTTTTTTTGGGAGGGCGGGGTAACATCTTAGAGTTCAAGGTTTGACCCCAGATTCGGCCGAGAATAACCTAAGCGATGGACATGGTATTTTTCTTAGAGCTTCTTTTTTTTTAAAATTTATTTATTTATGATAGTCACAGAGAGAGAGAGAGAGGGGCAGAGACACAGGCAGAGGGAGAAGCAGGCTCCATGCACCGGAAGCCCGACGTGGGATTCGATCCCGGTTCTCCAGGATCGCGCCCTGGGCCAAAGGCAGGTGCCAAACCACTGCGCCATCCAGGGATCCCAAGCTTCTCCTTTCTTCTGACACCGCTCTGTGGCACTTGGGGCGGTCTCTCGTCCCTCGGGTCTCTCTTCACTCGGTGAGTTAGTTCTTCCCGGGGGCCCTTGGTGCGCGTGCCCGTAGACACCTGATGGAGCTGCCCATCTTTCCTCAATGCAGAACCCCCTGTGTCTGGGTTCTGGAGCCTCAGCATCGCTGGCTGGAGCTGGAAGCCTGGTTCTACGTACACGTGGACAAGACACCCTGCCCGTGGGGTAGGACGGCCTTCAGAGCTGGTGATTGGGGCTACATCCTTTTAGGGAGTAGCTCTTCTTTATTAGGTTCCCAATTTGTGGAATTGTTACACTGTTTTCCACATTTGACCTGTCACTGCATCTGTGAAATCATAGGTCATCCTCAGGGTGCATTCTTTATGGCAATGCCAAAGAGAGAAACCGCTATAGACAGAGATATTTGGGAGGATTATTATTTTTTTTAAAGATTTTATTTGTTTATTCACGAGAGACACGGAGAGAGAGGCAGAGACAGAGGCAGAGGGAGAAGCAGGCTCCCTGCGGGGAGCCGGACGCGGGACTCGATCCCAGGACCTCAGGGTCATGCCCTGAGCCCAAGGCAGACGCTCCACCGCTGATTGAGCATGGGGGAGGATTCTAGGACCGTTTCTATAACCAATGCCTGGCGTTGGCTCGGACAAGCCCCCAGCCAAGTGCCCCTAAGTGCTCAAAACACGTTTCCCGGGTTAAGCCAAAGATTGTGGCCTGAGTCGCCGTCAGACGTGACCTCAGATTTTCTGAGTTAATTGAAGAGACTTCTTACAAAGTTTCTCCTCTTTGTAAAATAGCCCCCGTTCTAGTTTTCTAGTTTTTTTTCTCTTGGGTCCTGTTCTGTGCCCTGGGTCCCCTTAGTGGCTGCCCCCTGAGCCGCCTGCAGGCTCCCTGCGTCCTCTTCTGAGGGAGGCACAGCCACGGAAGGCCTGTCTCTGGGTGAGCGTGAGGGCTCTTCGTGGCCGTCCCCGTGGAGGTGTCCTGGCCCCCATCCCTCCTGCTCCTCGCTCCCTGTGAGAATGCAGTTCCACGGTCCCCTTCCGCTCACCGTCTCCCGTGTGCCCTGCCTCTCTTCGTGCTCCGCCTGGGGGCCATGCAGCCCCCGAGTGGCTGCCCGCACAGCAGAGGCCAGGTGGTCACAGCTCCAGAGCCCAGAGGAAGCAAGTCTCTCCAGGTGGGTCAGGCCTTCAGAACCTCTCTGTTGCTGTCTACCTTCCTCCACGGATCTCCTGGCCTGGAGTCTCCGCTTGCCTTTCCTTCCCTGTGCTCTCAGACCATCGGAACCTCCAGGGCGGCCCAAGCCTGGCCTTGGTCAGAAATGATCCAGGCTGGGAAGGGTTAAGGACAGGAGCCCTGATGGATGCCGAAGATTATTAATTATCATTTAGGGAGCCGAGGAAGGGTTTCTCTCTGCCGCCTACACTCCCCTTTCACATGATCTCTGGCCATGGCCACGGATAGGAGGGGGAGAGAAGAGGAAAAGGAAGAGAAAAAAAAAGGTTTTCAAAGTAATTTAGAGAGTCTTTGTACAAGCTTGTGTGTTCAACCAGCAGCTTGAATCCCAGGCAGCAATAGACCCTCGGAGGCAATAACCAACTGGGAATTGAGTGGAAAGAAAATAGGAATTCTAGACCCGAGAGCTGTCCAGTTTTTTTTTTTTTTGGTTTTTTTTTTTTTTTTTTTTTTGGTGGTGGGAGAGGGAGTAGGGGGAGGGATTAAGTCCAATCTTTCTGGGGGAGGGCTCAGCTCTGGGCTTTCATGGATAAAACACTAAAGATCAACTCCATGTGTGTGACCCAACTGTCCTGGAAACTTCAGCTGGAAGGGAATCCAAACCTTCAGTTGTGCTTATAACTTCAGCTCAAGTAAGAAAAATGAGGTGGGGGGGGGACAGGGTGGGGACCGAGGCTTTGGTGGCGGGGGAGGGCTTGGGAATGGATGCGGTGGGGACGAGGCGGAAGAGAGCTATGTCTTTAATTCTGTCCTATGGTTATACATATTTTTTCTTCTATGAATGGGTTTTGCTGTAAATTATAGCTTTGCCCGTGGTCCCTTGGGTCAAAAGAAATAGTCTCTAAACAGAAAACAGCTCTGATTGGTGACTTTCCTTCTCCCCTCCCAACCCCCTTCCTAATTGAAACCAAATGTGCAATATATTGGATGCTGGGATCCCTGGCGCTCTCCCAGGAATCCTCAGAATGTGAGGTTTCTCTCAAAGCATCTTGCATCAGCCTGTGGATGTATGCCTACGCCGGGCTCCTTCGCCGGCAAAGTGGAAAAAGAAGCGTTTCACAACAGATTCTTTTTTTGGGGGGGTTTGGAGGGGGACGCAGTGGATTATAAACTCTGTTTTCTTCTTCCTCAATCTGTGTACTCCTGGATGAACGTAAGTTACGTGTTTTTGTTTCTCTTTCCTCCCCCCCTCCCTTTTCTAAAAAAACGAAAGCTCTGAATTTGCTTCTGATGGCTCAGGAAAAGTTTTCAAAAGGAGGCAGAAGGGTTTGGAGCCAGGCGAGGCCGGGTTGGGAACGGGGGCGCCGTGGACCCGAGAGAGCCAAGCTCTCACGGTGTGCGGGGAGGGGTCCTGGATTTATCTTTACGGAGGGAAGAGCAAAGCAGCCTAAGCCAGAGCGGCCCGAGCCACCAGCCGCATCCTCAGTCGCAGCTCCGGTGCAGGGCACGGCGGGGTGGCGTGTGGCAGGCAGGCCAGGCCCACGGCACGGCTGGTTCCTGCGCCTGGACAGGCCGAGCTTGGGAGCTGGTTTCGGGGTGCAGTAAGCGCGGTGCCCGAGGGTCCTGAGTCGGGGAGAGGCCAACTGATTGCACTTTCGTTTTCTCAGCAGCGTCGCCGACTCCACTGGGAGCAGGGCAGCTTGCGGGCTGTCTGGCCGGGTGGCTGGGAGGGGGCCCGTGTGGAGGGGGGCTTCTCACCGCTGGCCCGGGGTGCCCTTCCCTTTGTTACCCCGCAGCTCGGGGCTGTTTGCAGTTGGGAGCCCTGCGTCCTGGCCGATGTTCAGGAGTCCCATCCAAGCGGCTGAGACTCTCGGGGTTGGGGTGCTCGCCCTGTCCGGGCCCGTGGAGGGTCAGCACCATCTTGCCCTCTGCTTTCTGCGTCCCTTCCCCGGAGTTAGAGCCCTGCGAGGAGCCTCAGAGGTGCACCCAGCCCCTCGATCCGCAGCTGCAGCAGGGACTGACACGCCGGGGCCACTGGTGGGCCTGGCCGTGGAATCGGGGCTTCCCTCGCCTCGAATGCAGCCCTCCGTCCCCCATCACCTCTACTTTCTTGTTCATTTCGTGGCCTAGACGATGGGGACACTTCAATGAACGAGTCCCCGCAGGGACCCTCGTTACCGCCCCGGGGAGGATGCTAATGGTGGCTCATCAGCTCGTGGTATCTCTGGTCACACAGGGGACCCTTGAACAACAGGGGTTGGGGCACCGACCTCTGCGCAGTCGAAAGTTCATGTACAATTTCTGACTCCCCCAGAACTTAACTAGCCCACTGTGGACCAGAAGCCTTGCCCGCAACAACTAGTCGGTTAGCGCGTGGACTGTGTGTCGTATGTTCCCATGTGTGTCTGTTACGTGCTGTATTCACGCAATAGAGTCGACTGGAGAAAAAATATTGTCAAGAAAATCATGAGGAAGAGGAAGAAGCATTAGCAGTACTGTACTTTTTTTTTTTTTATCAGAAAAAATCTGTATCAGCAGACCCACGCCGTTCAGGCCCGTGTTTTTCGAGGGTCAGCTGTATTTGGTTGTGTGTGTGCATATGTGTGTGTGTGTGTGTGTGTGTGTGTGTGTGTGGAAAATAAAGGAGCTGACGTCCGAGTGCTTACTATGCACCAGGCTCCAGGCTCAGAGCTCTGTATGCAGCGTTGGACGGATCCTCACAGCTCCGTAAGACGCGATTCCTATCTCATACGTGAGGATACCGAGTCTCAGCGAAGCGGAGCGGGCTGCTCAGGGAAACGCAGCTAAGAAGTCTGAAATTCACGTACGCCTGACTCTAGAACCTGTGCTCTTTTTTTTTTTTTTTTTAAATATCCTTTGCATTTTACTTTCTTAAATTGAGGTATACCCATAATGGCCGGATATTTGTACTCCTTGCAAAGTGATCACCACAGTACGTTCAGTCCCCGTCCGTCTCCGCACATCGCCCCACAGAAGCGTTGCCTTGTGATGAGAGCTGAAATCTGTGCTTCGAGTCCCTGGGCGGTCATGCCCCCCTCGCCCCTCCACACACGCCTGTGGTTACTTTCCGGGTCGAATTCCGCGTTTCCCTCCGTGGCCAGGAGGTGAAGGCATCAGGTTGGGCCTGGACTGATTCGGATTCTCTTTCGGGGTGCACCCCTGTGCACGTGGCTGTGTATTTATCTGGTGCCAGACAGGGGCTGCAAGTGGGCACCCCTGCAGGCTTCCTTCTGCGCGCTCCCTAAATACTTCCCTTTGCCGTGCAAGGAGCCTGGGGTTTAGAGTCGGAAGCACCGAGTTCAGATGCCGGCTCCACTTTTTACCTCCTGGCAGTGCTGCACCTTGGCCTCTGTATTTATTACCCGGGGACGACAGCAGGACCATCCAGTGTTCTTGTTTGACAAGATATGGGACAGGACCGTGTCCTGGAGGCTGGGAAGGGCTTAACCATACCCGTTCCTGTAACGATGATCACTGCAAACCCAGGACCACAACCTGGGGCCGCCTGTGGCATGTACTTGTCTAAAACCCTGAAATGGGAGGCCACAGCCCCAGCCTCCTTCGGATGGAAGCAGTCCCTTCCCGTGGGGGGAGCAGTTCCAGTCTTTCCATCTGAGGCTCCCCTCTGGTGGCCTGGCTTGGCCATCGCTCCTCGCCCCAGAGGTCACAGCGGGAACCGGAGGACACCATGCTGGCCTTGGGTCCCCTGCTTCAGTCTCCACCACCTCTGACCAGCGGGGTGTGTAGTCGTCCCTTGGTTTCTCCTTGAAGGAGATCGGCCTTTGAGGGGCTTCATGGCTGAGGGTGGATCCCTGACCCGAGGCTTTCTTGTCCTTGGCAGAGGTGGCTCTGCACCCCAAGTCCCCCGGGCTGTGCCTGGAGCCAGAAGGAATGCAGCTGCTCCCGGGGGTGGGGCTGGCGGCCCGGCAGCGGGGAGGCCCCTGCCTCTGCTTCTGGTTAAGATCTGTTTGCTTTATAAACACGGAAGGTAAGGGCAGGTGAGGGCCTTCTCAGGACCTCTTACTAAGAACCCTCACACTGGACGTGCCCACAGTGTCTGTGCCTGTGGGATGATTGGAAATCCATGCCTGGTCTCTGCCCCCGGCCCTGGGCACAGGGCGCCTCACGCCCTCCTAGTTTTCCAAGTGCTGAGAGCACTGGGGGCATTTCTTTCGAGTCCTTCGGTCTCTGACCCCATGTCCTGACCCAGGGCTCCTAAATCCCTCAGAATTTCCTGGGTGACAGGAGTGTCCTTTGTTCTAATGGGTGACTCTGGGTGGGCTCCTGGATGGGGGCCGGTCACCAGAAAGACAGAGCCCTGATCAGAAGCCTGATCAGCCCCAGAGGCTGGAGGGTGAGTCAGTGATCCATCCTGCCTGCACGCGGAAGCTTCCATGAGAATCCCCGCAGAATGGAAGGGGGAGCTCCGCGAGTGCATCTACCTACTGGGGGGTGCTACGCCCCAACCCCAGGACAGAGGCTCCCATTCTCAGGACGCTCCCAGGTCTTAGCTGTGTATCTCTTCTTCCGGCTGTTCATCCGTCTCTCTTCTCGTATCTTTCTTTATATAATAAACTGGTAAAAGGAAGTAAGCGGTTCCCTGAGTTCCATGGGCTGTTCTAGCAAATGATCAAATCCAAGGATGGGGTCGTGGGAACCTCTGATTCGTGGGCCGAGTCAGACAGAAGTTGGGGACCTGGTGTTTGCCATTGATGCCTGCACTGGAGGGGGACGGTCTCGGGGGCCTGAGCCCTACCCTGTGGGGTCCGCACCAGCTCCAGGAGGCCTGCGTCAGAATTTCTGGGTGCGGAAACCCACGCAGCTGGTGGCAGAGGCATTGTGAGCGCGTGAGTGGAGGAAACTGAGTTTTTCCTGGACGATGTCCGAGCACAGGGTGGGAGCATCATCCAAGGGAGCCCCATCAGCCCCCCTCTCCTCTAGCGTCTCTGGTAGCACACCGTCTTCTTCCTCCACAGTCCCTCCCTGGGCTTCAAGGCACATGAGCTACCTATGACACGTCAAGAATATAGTGCATAGTGCAGACCTTCCCCCTCCGACTGCATTTCTAACAGGCAACAGGCTACCAAATAAGAGCGCCCCCCCCCCCCGCTCTTGTTAACGCCACACGGTTCTAGGTTAGCGATCCTTCTCAGACTCGCTTCCCGAGCTCCTTTATGAGATCCCCTCTCAGGCACATCACCCACACCTCAAACACGCAACCCAAACACGTGTCTCACTGGCATCCAGAAGGCTCACACTGCCCCCCCCATCTAAAAACAGACTTCCTCGACGTGCCCAAGTCCTGTGCAGGCTCGCCCCAGTGGAGACCGTCGCGGTGCAGACACACTGGGTTCTTTATGCCCCTTGCCCTGTTGGAAGCCGTGCCCCGTGTGAATCGACTCTCTCCCAGCGATGACGACTCAGTCCAGAAATGTGCCCGACATCCCCAGGCATCCAAGAGCGTCTCTGAATTCAGCAGCCCGCCGCAGTGAGGGCTGCTCCCCAGGAAATTAGAAACCCCGGTGGGACTTAAGGACCTCCAGGCCAATGACGTCAGAGCATCTCCAGTTGGGGGTTGGGAACCAGTACTTTGAAGTGCCCACAGAGTGGCTCTACCGTGAACCTCCCCTGCTGAATATCCACGTCGGTTGCCTCAGCCACTCCTTGGCAGGCATGAAGGGCAGGCTGGGGACAGAAACCAGCCCGGACTGCACCCCCTCTCCCGTTGTCCTACAAGCAATCTAACGCTTCGTGCCTCCCTCCTCCAGTTGCCTCGTGTGAGCTTCCCGCAGACCTCCTCATGCTGTGTCCGACCTCGCTTTTCCCCTTAAGTGGAAGTTGTCCAGGCCTCAGACTCTTCCCGGTGTGGAGTCAGATAGACCTGACTCCCAACCCGGGCCACGCTCACCCAATCTGGGCCCCTGGGCCACCTGCTCAAACCCCCTACGTCTCAGTGTCCCACTCTGTGATGTCAGGATTATAATTCCCATTTAATAGGCATTGCAAACGCCGTCTGCGAGCACTACACAGTTAATAGACGAGGTCGACGCGGGTATCACCAGTTCAGCACTGCTGTGTGGTCCTCCCTGTTTTCCTGAGGCCCATTCCCAGCACTCACCTGCCCAAGTTGGCCTCTGCCAGCAACAGCACCCAAGGTGCACTCGCAGAGCAGAGGACGTGGGTTCAAGTTCT